GTCTAGGGAGCTTTGGTGGTCGATAGTAGCTGAAATCGATATTCAAAATCGATTAATAAAGACAAAGTACTTCCAAATAAGGGTATTGACAAGAATTCATTTATTTCACAAGCAGGTATTTGAGTATACTTTGTGTCCAGAAATGGGAAAGACAAAACCTCTGTGAGTTTTTTTCTTAGAACTCGAATCGTTGAATGTTATTTGTGAGCAATAGATTGGATTTCGTTGTTAATAGTAAATATGTTAAACACAAAATTAGACGTGGAATAAGTCAGACAAACATGGTAAACTCTATTGCTTTTGTTAGGGTTTCAACACTTTCAAGGTTACTGATTCCATTACAGAGACCCATCGTCCAGTGCTTAGAGCGGGTTATGCTAATTTGGGTTCAGCAATAGGAGGTTAAATGATGCTTCAAAATCAAAACGACAAGTCAATATTAAAACTCCCAGTTAAGTCAAATTAGCAAAAAATTATTGCAGAAACTTCTATGTCCAAGGAAAACTAAATGGAATGAAAATGTGGAAGGTATCGACTCAATTCTCTCAGTATGGCAGAAAGGAGCAATAGGAAAGTCTCCTTTTCATAGCAAATTCTTGCTGTAGCGGTAAGTAGCTTGCTTTAAGCAATATTAATCGAAGATCAGCGATAGTTAACTTCAACTCAATCAATACTTGCTTCCCCAAGCCATGCCAAGCTTGCTCCATTGGAAACTTCTTCCACGAAATTGGTGAAATGTACATGAAATAATACACTGAAAAATTGTTGGAACCGTACAAAGCAGTTGCAGCCCTAAGTGTTCTGTCAACAAATTGTAAGCGTAATCCAAAGTTTTTGAGAGAAGTGGATATCCTTCAATATGAAAACGTTCGAATCCCTACTCCCGTTACTTAACCTGAATGACCAACCAAAACTTTACGAAGTGCATTGGAAGTTTCACATCCGTTACATACTATTGAACTCAAAGACCACTTGGACGAGTACTTCATTTTATAAACAACAAGCGATTTTTTTGAGGTGGAACGAAGAACAATAGAGTGGAAAAATGGGCTAGATGTATTGTGGACCTAGTAGTTTTTGCTGTTTTGATGTTAAATTATGAACTTAATTTTAGAGTTTTAGGGGCTCTTTCCAATCGAGGATAAATACAGTTCTTTCAAGGACAAGGTGATTCCACACTATAGTCGGGAATTCACATTAACTTTATCTCCATGTTTCAAGGCCTGGAATCACCTAAACTCGTTCGACTCGCTGCAAAAAACCATCTGACTTTTAAAAAAATCAAAACTTGTCAAGATATCCGCATTATTTGGAAGTTCAGAAAACAATTAAATGAGTGAGATGTTAGTGGTGAGTCATATTATTGCCAATTCAGTCAATGGATCACAGGTAATCCAATGGAGTCCCAAAATGATTGAAAAATTACATGGGCATTAAAATGACACCAAAACTGTCAACCGCACTTTTGGGAATTTTCCACTAGCATTAAATTAAAAGCAACTCCTAACCTATTTCTTGACAAGAAAATATTGCAAGAAACAAAAAGAATTAATGCCTTCACGATGAAATATTCTCTTGTATCATAGCCAACGCCCATGCAAACAAACAAGATGTGGAGGCTCTTTTCATAAACTCAAAGAACGAAAGTCAAATTTTGATATTTATGCTATTTATAAATCAATATTTTTAATCGTTGTTTGTTTTAATGGTTAAGTACTAAGTTTACTTAGCCACGGTAAATAATATTTAAATTTTACATTTTTTCTAAGCGACTTCAACCTCAATTATACTTAATCATCTTGCATACCTTGGAGTGGTAAGTTTTTTTTCATGGGCAAGTGACAACCATAAGCAGATGCCAAAGTTTATCACTTTAGTCACACTTGTCAGTTGCTGAAAAAGAGTCTCGCAGTAATTACGAAAAGCGTAATTAGAATGCATTGAAACCCTTTTGATTTTCAATTAATTCCTTAAGAAAGTGAGTGAGAGCGAAAAACAAACGGAGCGGTTTAAAGTCGCCTCAATTCGAGAGGCAGACAAATAGACTCTAATCAGCCCCGTCTATTTCAGTCGATAGCATGGCTTGTCCCACACACCAGCCACCTCCCCTCCCCTCCCCCACCACCCCACCCCCACCCCATGCACTGCAAACTTTGTTAAGGAGCAATTTGAACAAAAATTGACTGCCAAAAGCAAATTAATCCATTCATTATGATTACGATGTAATTCTAGTATTCCATACCTGCCTATTTCCATGAAAACTGCCTTTTAAGAGAGGTACTTTTCAGCTTGAAGTTCGTATGTAGAGTTTAAACCACTCTAATATGAGTACACACTGCACACAAGTTTAACCTTTCAACTGCAATTTAGAATAGAAGAAGCTTGGGAAATTGAAGTAATTGTGACTATTCAATCTTGGACATCAACAACTTCTGCTAGTCTAATCGATTTGAAATAGCTTCTAAACTCTTGCCCAAAGCTCTCGAAGGCTCTTCTAAAAGAGTGCTATTTAGACATTTAGGCTTCATAGATACAGCCCACCAATTGCATTTTCATTGCCTATTTGGTACATAGTATTTTTTGAATTCCATGTACCTCGTGTTCAAATCATATTAATATAAACTAACTTAGGCATACAAAGTAGGCATCCGCTATTTATTTGGGTTTGATGAATGTCACAACTAATTTCTAAAGAAACGTAGTTTGACAAATACACTTCTTCCTCGCCCTCCCCCNCCCCCCCCCCCCCCCCCCCCCCCCCTCCCCATCCGTTAACTATCCGTGGGATTTGGAGTGATTCGTTAACTCAAATTGGAAATCAAATGAACACTAACCTTCCTTCTTAAAAAAATTGCATCCAGCAATAAATTCATCAAAGCTAAACTCCACACTAATTTAATGCGCTCAAATACTCCGAGTCGATTACTGCCTATAATGAACAGAAATGAGTACTTTTCTTATCGAAATCTTGACGATTTATTCCTCCCACACTTCAATTAAATTAATTTTGGAAGTTATATATCCTCCCACTCAGATTAAATTGTTAATAAGACCTGTAACTGATCATTTTGGCTTGAGAATTGGGTCTCAAACCATAAAAGTCAGTCTCTGAACTGTTTTATTTTGAGATTACGGTCAGGGCTGAACTCAGTTTCGTCAGCGTGCAATTAAAAATTAAATAACAGAAGACATTCTAATTAAATATTGGCCTGTACTTTAAAGGAGAGTAATTCAAGAAGTCAAAGTCGACTTTCAAAATGAATAACATCCATTAGTGAGGGGATCTTGAGATAACAAAAACATTGAAATTATTTTGAAGGACGCTATTCTGTTATCTTGGATTTCAATAATTTGGACATACGATGCTTACAAGACGTGTCTATAAGACGCATTTGTCTAGCCAATCAATTTTAACTAGCACAATTGCCTAGTATGGCTGTGGCAAAATTCGTAAAAATATCAAAAACAGTTCTTAAATAATGGATCACTGCGTATAAGTGGTGTAGTAATAACCATTAAGTATTCTAAAACAAGAATCTTAGCAGAGATTGCGTTCAAGACGAGTGTTACAAGTTATTTTCCTTCAAAATCGTTGTGGCCCTATGATCTGTAATCACATCTACCAAGTTAGAGGTTATGGAATCGATACACATCAAGGCTAATTCAGTGATACGCATGGCTCATTGGTTGGTTCTAGCTAATCAGACTGGCAGCAGAATGGAGTTAATCACAAGAATGGCCCAAAGGTAGCTCCCAAGATACCCAAGATAAGCATTTTCAAATACCTTGTGGTAATAGCAAATCGATAATTCTCAAAAATGTCTTGCCGTTGATCTAACTTCCCATTCTGAAAGGGCCAACAATATATCGTCTTCAATACTTTCCCCGATTGTTAAATAACGGAAGAAAAATTAATAAAACTACTTAAAATCGATTGATGAGGTGAAATAAAGGTGATGGTTAATGAATTGGTGGAGATACTTCAACATAGGTAGAGACTAACGATTGTTTAATTTTCGATCTCATTGCCCGCTTAATTGGTTCAATTAAAAATGAAGATATTAAAAGGGAAAATTGGACCACGAAATACCTGACCTTTCTCCACAAAAGGCGGAGTTTTTTAATGTTTAAAATAAGACGAATTTCTAACTACCCGTACTTTAGGAGACTCGTACTTTACCCCCTGTGTATCCACTGTTAATTTAGGTGGTGAGTAAAGGTCTTTTATACCTGATTTGAGCAAATAAAGTCGTTCCATTTTTCTATCATTGAGATACCCAGGATACAATAGAAGGTAATTAAATTGTTAAGTGCTTTTATTGCTACCTTATGGAATAAGACAAAGTCATACTGGTATAGTACAAATAAAACCATATATTATCTTGCAAGTCAGGTTAAATTTTATTTCAAATACTATCTTTTGTTTAAATTGATCAAATAAAACCCGAATCTTAATGCTTTCTCTTGGAGACCAATTGCTGCATAATTGCCTTCGAAACTGAATCCAATAAAAAGTGTAGAAAACCCATGAGACAATGAATCTCGCTTCAAGATCATAAGCAGTACACCTTCTGCCCAATTATCAGTGTAAGTTTAGATCCTATCCTTCGACTTCCATTAGCAAAAGATTGAGATATCAATAAATTGAGAATAGAGTCAGGTACTGAATTTAATCTGCTGTACATGCATGCACACATATTTGCTGTTAACGGACACGTCAACCAAAAAACAGAGGTCTTAGGATCAAAACCCATTAATGTACATATAATAACTAGGTTAGGCAACTCTAAATGGTAATATAAAACTTCGGAAAATAAGAAAAAAATAAATTCTGAACACTCAGCCACCATAATTCAGTATCTTTAACGCCATTTACCTACTTTTCACCGACGCTTCTCAATTCTACTTTTTTATTATTATTTTTAATTCACTAACTTGATCGGGGCTATTAAGGTTGTGCTAACTCATGAGATGCATTTTGAAATCGGTTTGGAAAATGATTACACCGATGGCGGAAGTTGAGTTTTATTAACTTGAATACCGGAAGTGTTGAACTTAAATGCCCATCTACAAAATAGTCAACAAAATGTTGCCTTATCTTGGGAAAAAAAATCGAGCTTTTAAGATTGTTCTAAGCCAGTAAATAGAGAACTGTATGAAAGGAAATTTTCACTACCTGCCTTAAAAATAAATTTATTAAATTAATTACTTAAAAAGGAAAACAGAAATATAGCTGTATTAAAATTCGTATAACATGATGACATAATCTGAATTATTATTGCGTCAGTTAACAGTAACTGGAAGCTGATTTATTTCCCTAATTAGGCAAAAATAACTATTTATTACCCTATAAGAGAAAAGCCTCCAAGTATAAGAAATAACTTCTTTTAGGGTCATTTGAAAGAAACAGGCGTAAACTCTAAAATAACTGCCTTAGTTTCCACTTTAGATTGAGTAGCAAAAAGAAGTACTATATGAATTGCATGCTATTTAACTACATCTAACCCTTTCCCAAGCCAAAGACACACAACATAAAAAGAAGACAACACCAAAAAAAATATTTTTTTCTTTCCCAAAAAAAGAAAAATGTACAATAAAAGTTTTTTAATATCCAAGCGAAAGTCGAGAATTCCATTTAAAGGCCATAACCTATAAAAATAATACACAACACATCAAATTACAACATGAAAAGAAAAAGTAGATTTGAAGAAAAAACTAGGACTACCAAGACCTAGGTTCATCTAACTACAAACCTCCTATTATTCATATGACAGATCTCTCGCCCAAGAGTGCATAGATACCTTATAGGTCTACAGAGTTGGCATGACCTAACCAATAACAGATACCAACAAATCAGGTAGGGAAAAAATTGGGTGCGAATTTTAAAATTCGTAATTAACTGACCTGCTACGTGGATTAATTCCATCTAAAGTGTCGTTGGAACGAATGCTGGAACGTGATGATGTTGAAGAAAATACCTGCCGAGATGAACGTGGATATCTAGATCCATTGTGCTTTTGCTGACTTGGGTGTTGGGCTTGAGAAGGGACATTTCGAATAATTTGACCTGGGGCCGCGGAGAATGATCCACGACCTGGGTGACCTCGAGCACTACGGTTAGCTAAGCTTATGGGGCCGTTTGAAGATTGCTGTTGTGAATTGTCATCAACTTCTTCGTCACTGGATGACGAGGCTAACATCTTAAGAACATGCCAACCTAAAATTTATAACTATTTAATAATTTCCCAAAAATAAATTAGATGTATTCATCAAGTAAAAAAGCACAACAAAATTTACCCACAACAAAAGTTAGATTAGCAAATCTGGTTAAATTCACCAACCTTAAGACGATACTTGAAGAAGTTTGGATAATTCAACTGATTCACCGTTGTATGTTACGATACGGTGATTGGTTGCTCCATAAAGACCTTCAAAATGGTTAATATAAAGTACAATATATGGGATTTAATAAATAAACAAAGCCGTAAAACGTATAATATAAAAAAATATTTTTAGAAATCTATTGTCCAATTAAATATTTAGTACATCTATTGAAGGCTGTTAATGATTATTTATTCATTATACTTATTAATTATTAACTAATTTATTAACGAGGCATTTAACCCATTTATAAACTAACTATTGTTGAAAGGTATTTTCGGTAACTAATTGTAAGGTTTGAAGCTTTCAACTTATTATTTCCCAACTCTATTAATCTAAATTGATCGAAAAATTGTTACGTATTTTTAAAAGTACTTTTAATTTGTATAACATATATACGCCATCTCCTTCGCAACTCTTTGTAAGCGCTAAATCATTTCTTGGCTACAGTGTAATTTATATCTATAAACCATAAATTTCTACCAAAAAAATGCACACGTAAAATCAATTTTAAATAGGTCATAAATAAATAATGCTAACTATTCACCCATGACTAATAAGCATCCTGTGTACCGCAATAGGATGAGGCTAAGTAGGAGCTTAGTTACTATTTCCTAGACAGAGTTTTTTAAACATCTAACCTTACGGTTGCGCAAACAATCTTCATCCTAAATAAAAGTTTTAATTCACTTTTCTTTTCCTGAGCAAATTGAAACACATTAAGTTTATGCAATTGCAGGACTTGAAGAATGAGCGATCTCTTTTAAAATTAGTCAATATTATTCTGTTTACTGCTTTTCTGTATTATTTTCAGTAAATTCTTTGATTTTATTTCATTGACCGATAATTTTATTAACCCTGTGCCAATGTCCCATTTTCTCTGCATGCCTTTAACTATCAATATTTATTAATAAAAACGAAAATCAGTCCAGTTGTATGAGGCATTTAAGACAGCAAATTGCTCATTCTGATGCTCAACGCTATGCAATGGTTAAGTTAATGGAATAGTCGGAAACGGAGTTGCGGTTGTAAAGGTATGATTAGGACATTTAGATGTTTTCGTATAAAAACTAAATAAAATTTGGTTAATTTTATCGCAAACATTTAAAAATACAACTTTTATGCTGATTAAAATGGCAACAAATTAACAAACGTCTCCAAATTTTTTTTCAGTTTCTATATTTATAATGCGAATGCTCCCCAGTTTCATCAAATTTTTAAAGTATCCCGAAAAATTATTATAAGTTCAAGATTTCATTCGTATTACTGGCTTATTACCTACGATTATATTTGACTAGGTTAATTGATCGATGGGAGGTAATTAGTGTTTTTACTTTGATATAATCTGCACTGTTAAAAAATATTGCGTCTTTTTAATGATATCGACAGAGAAAAATTTATCACAAGCAATTATCACTGTCAGTGTCCGAAACCTACTGGTTGTGATATGTATACCATATGTAAATATCACTGTTTGGGTTCGGATCAGATGCGCAGAATTTTAATTGATCTTACCTCAGACTACAAAAATTTCCCATTTTCACTTTATTCACTTCAAAGTCCTTTATGAATATGACAGCTGACTGTCGGTTAATTTTTAAGTCGAAGGTCGGAAAAACGCTGCAAATGTTATAATTTTAAAAGAGAATGGTGATTACGAGATTGTGACGGGAGTGACTATAAGACATCTTTCATTAAAATGTGTGGAGTGTTTGCCAAGATAAAGTGTGGTAACTTGCCTGTCATCACTGTCATCTTAACATTTGCCAAGAGGGCTATTGTTACCTATAATGTGGCATATGATTAAAAAATAGCTTTTCGTATACATCGTATATCTATTTTATCTGACGGGAAATTAAATTAAATTAAATGTTAAAACTAACCTGTCATGGTCTGTTTTATATCAAAGGGACATTTATTTTATCAGTAACCTAAAAGAGCAAATGGAGAAAAATATGGTTAAAACGAGAATGATATTATAGATTTTGTCAAAGAGTCAGAAATTAAAAGAGTAGCATTAGCTAAATATATATTTATGATTGAGGCCCAGGTGCTAACAAATCAAATGTTTTAGAAATTTTTACTGCTAAATGAAATGAAATTCAATAATAAATCTTTCCTTTCAGTGAATTTAAGTTTCACAAAACATTTCTTTAAGAAAAGAGAAAATGAATTTTTTTGTTTTTAACATTGTCGACGGCCACTGTTGCGGAATTTTCTAATAGCCTATAGACAGCTGGTACTAATCGGTTTTTATTAGTATTTGCAATTTATAGTTTGTCAATCAAATCAATTTACCTATTTTCGCTTAGAAATATACACGGTATTCACCTCCTCATAATGGCTTCATTTACGGAAAACGGTGTTTCTTCTGAGAACAGATTTGCACCTGCAGTTGACGCATTTCCACGAGGTAGTGTTTGTGCTTTGTCTGTTATTTCGCTATAGATCAAAATCCTACGCCTTCGGAAATTTTGGGACATCTAACTACGTCGGACGTCAGTTCCGGTTCTACGTCAGCTTCACAGAATGTTAATGCTTCCAGTTTGAGAAATGGTCCGGTGTTAAATAATTATCAGCCCGATGTAAAATATCCCCTTTTAACTTTATTTCCTTCAGAAAAATAAGTCAAGTGGGTTGGATAGGTTTCAGAATTCATCCGTTGATGCACCAAGTGGTTGTGAGTTATTTACTCTTTTAATGAGATTATTTAGGGATGTCAGATGCAAGAGACGCACAACCTTTGTACATGGATGGTGGTTCCTTTGCAGAGAATCCAGATGGGCCTTTTAATAGGTATTACTTTTGTCTAGCCTCACATCTCAGGTTTTAAGAAAACCACATCGAATCTCAATTTGACATCGTTAGCTCATAGTTTATTTACCCGCTTTCTTGTTCTTCTTTTTTTATTAACGTGCCTCCGTGTATATTTTAAAATAATTTAGTTGGAAGAAATGTCCAGGCGATTTGCAACAATACCGGTGTTACGTGGAAAATGGAACATCTGAAAATCAGGTTCTAGGCGGATTGCATAACAATGAATATTCGCTTATGCAGCCACCAGATGTATCAATTAATGGGAATATCAACATGCCTAATTTCTCCGAGGGCAGATCTAATGCCTCCTGGTGTCATCCTACCGGATGGCCTAACGATCCAGGTTTAGGTCCAAGTGGGGATCGAAGCTGTATTGATTGGCCCAAGTCCCTACAAAATCAATTCCCAGAAGTCAATTCCTTCTTCCCAGAGAGAAGCTGGCGTTTGCGTACCACTAGTGAAAACGATGCAATCGCGAACAAGGGCTCTCAAGTACATTAGGGCCCAAATTTTGTTCTGCTTTTGAACTTTGATCCCTCACGTTATTGTGTGTTTTTTTGTAGCCGACAAATAATCGATCTGAAACTCAACAACATCAACCCCAGCAACAGCATCACCATAGACGAAAAGGCCGGACAGCATCTGGATCAAGTAATTCTCCCATTACGGACGCTTCTCCGAATTCTGATGATAATCGGAGTATCAACCTTCCCATCGGTCAGAATGTCAATACATCCGACTTTGATATTCAAAATTGTCTCGTAGAAAGTATGGCACGGTTGTCTCTCATGCCAGATATCTCCGCAGCTGTGGTACAAAGACCCCCTGTTATGTCTACTGCCAATTCATCCGATTCAATGGCTCAATTTATGCTGGGTGCACAGGTTAGTTGTGGTTATACCACCTCCACTATTACTGTTGATCATTTCGATCAATTTTGTAGGCCTGCAGATTGTACTTTTCTCTACATCCATAATTTTGTTCTCCGTGGACTGGAAATTGCTTATTTTCCTCTAGAATGTTATTGTAACTCATTCTGAAACTGACAATCATCATTAACCGTAGTGGTTGCGATTATTGACCTTATATCCTGTCCTAAAAGTACCTTACCTCCTGGAGTTTTTCATTCGTTTTCGAATTTCAAATTATTTGATCTGTATTAATAAGTTTAAATTTCACGAACAGTTGACTCGGTGTACGTACATGCTAGTTTCCATTTTGCAAATTTTATTTTTCAATAATAACTGATTGTTTTTAAATCTTTTGCTCCGAATTTTTAGTACGCATTTTTTTGATGGTATTAGTGCAATTTGACGTTTAGATTTATTTTGTCTCTTCCTTCTCAATCAGGCATCTCTCGCTAACATAATGGAAAAGTCTCCGTTTTTCGCAAATAGTTCGACACCTATTTACTGGAACACAGGAGGAAGTCAAGATGGAGTATATAATCAAAAATTGAATCCTTATCACCATCAAAGGCCCTCTACATCTGATCAATATACTCAACACGATACTTTAGCCGGCACTTTCAGAGGTTATCCTGGCGTAAGTTCCAACTATTCTTTACCTAAATTGATGACCTTGGCTAACATGATTTTCTAACATGATGCAGTCAACGCCAGGGAATTATAACTTCGATCAACAACAACAGCAAGCGCAACAGCAATTTCCGAGTCGTGAAGATGATTGTATATGGTATTACCAAGATCCAAATGGTCGAATTCAGGGAGGATTTAGCAGCGAACAAATGGCTAACTGGTTTGCTGTCGGTCGGTATTTTACTCCCCAACTGCTAGTACGTCGAAAATGTGATGATACACTATCCACCCTTCGTGAGTTTGCACTTTATGTCACTTTTAGTCGACTGTATTATATGACCTGGCAAAATTACTTTACACTTATAGAGAGTTACATCGATATGTACGGTGAAGTACCTTTTTCCAGTAAAGTCAAAGTTCCACCAGTTCATGGAGGAATAACGCCCGATCTCATTAACTACAATCGAACTCTTCAAAACCCCTCTTCCTTCTCAACGGACCTCCTTGCACAGATGGAAAAAGATCCCAATTGTCAGAAGCTGCTGACAAGCACTGGCATTCCCGTAGGTGCATTATTGAAGAGTCTTGTAATCTCAGTGTTATCGTCAATGGAAAGGGTACTGTCTGTAGGCTGTGTAGTATGTACACAGTCGGCTCTGTATCGATGATTTCGTTCAGCTTGCTTATTGTGTACCTCTGCTTGAAGTCTATTCGTATTCCATTTCCTTTGTTGGTAATTTAATACCTTTTAGCAATAGTAGTCCATTGTCAGAGAGTGAAACTTAATCGGGTGTGTGCACCTGGGTGTATGATCGACTGATTTTTATTTGCAAATCATTTTGTGTACCTGTGCATTTGTCATCAACGTGTGCGTAGGTTAAATTTTGAGAATCGGTTGTGTTGATGATTCAGTGGTTGCGGCGTTTTGTCCGTTATGCTTATTTGATCTCGCTTTGAGTTATACTCATATTCGCTCATTGATTGAATATCTTTGTTAATATTCGGTTTTTTTCACCTTTCTATTGATTTTTTGTCGTGACTGCCTATGTGGCTCTGTTTGGTTGCAGTCAGTTATTGAGCTCAAAACTGTTTACATTTCCCTGTCTATAATCCTATGACTGCTTGGTTAAAAAATTTATACGTTTGAGTTCCTGTTAATTAAGAGCGACTGTATTTGGATTTAATTGATTCTGGATCATGCTCATTTTGCTTGGGTTCAGCTAGTCACTATCTATAATTTTAAAATAATGGTGGATGTCGTCTGATTATTTCATGGTCATGTGCTGGAAGTGTTAAGGCAGTGTTTTTTTTGTCTTTTTTCGCCTTAGATATATTTTGCATCGATGGCCTTTCAAAGGTTACACACCTAGCATGCTGGAAGATTTAACTGTAATTCCAAAAGTTATCTATCGTCGGTACTGAATGGTTCTCATCTTTGTTGATTTAAGAAAGGCGCGGTTTCTCTAGCCACTTGTGCAATCCCATCGAAGCAGTGTGAACTTAAGCTGCAATCCCTTTAAACAATTCCTCATTATCCAATAAGTCACAAGGGAGACTTAAATATAATATTTAATTTTTGAGGGGGTCGAGGCCGCTATCCGCTATTGTATTTCAGCTAATAATTAAAACATGCAGCCTGTGGACATTTGAAAGCAAGATTATAAACCTTCACAGGGCTTAAGTGGTCGTTGGGGTATTTTGAGCATGCGGATGACCTGTGGCTTGTCATTTCTTCGATTTGACAAGTTGAACTGCTTCTTCAAAGACGCAAATCTATCCTTGGAAAATATGCGATGGAGATATTATATGATAAAACAGTTTCGATGTACGTCGTTGGAGACCTGAATCAATCTTCTTTTCAAATGAATGGTCATAGGATCAAACGAGTAAGCTTCTTTGCTTATCTTTTCTCCCCAATGGATGGTAAAGGTCTGATCGATAGTTACATAAAAATTAGTTCATTAAGGCTGGACATCTGCTAGTGAAGCTTAGATCTGTTGTAGGGTCAAAAGTGCTAGTTATTAAGGTTTGAGCAAAGATACTGGCCACATCGACTGTTTTTTGTTGGGTTGTCAGCAGTTATTTATTTTTAATAACTTGACTCAAAAATGATGCTGGGATTATACAGGGGGGGGGGAGGGCAAGTGACTGTTGAAGTCTCGGAAACCTTGCGCGCAGCTTCGAATACGAAGGTTGGATCTGTGTGCAAGTCTTCAGTGGTGCTATACAGATGTTCGCCAAGAAAAAGGCTAAAGTTGGTTCTTAAATTCTACAAATATTCTCATTCCCCTCATTTCTGAACATCAACCACCACTGAAAGTTATGCCTATTAGAGAAATTGTGCTTAAATTACCGGTGTCAACTCTGGAAATAAAAGCGTATCGCAAGACCTCGGCAAATCATTCTTCACAAGCCCAAGGGTTATTTGTCAACCAGTTGATTGATGTTATAAGAATAATGCCCAGAGATTGACCTCGAAGTAACATGAAACTTGTCACTCAGGTTTTCCCTCTTATGAACTTTCATTGCGGTGTGTGTTGGGGGGGGGGGGGTT